AGTCATTATAGAAAATAACAAATGTCTTAGAATATCTCGCAAAAAGAAATGATCCAATATTAGTTAGAGCTAGTAAGGCCAAACGCTCCGTTCTTGAAGTAAAAGTGCGAGCTTTGCGCCAAAGTGACGTCACTAGAGTGACGTCGGAGAGTCGGCGCGGCGAGAGATACTTCAAAGGAGTGAACCAGCCCTTCTATTCTCTTTAGCCCTGGTTGCTCTTAGGTAGATTTCTACAAACCTCAAAACATCCTACCTTGTGAATAAAACAACTTCATTCACCTTGATTATAATCCACGGGAAATTGTTTTTTTTTTTTTTTAATTTGTTTTTGAAGTAAACTTGAAATCAACCTTAACACCTCAGGCAACCTCACACAAACCTCAAAAACACATTAAACTTTTGTAAACGTTGTTAATTATTCTCCCCCTTATAATATAATTTTCCAAAAATGTTACTTTTCTAAGACTACTGTTACACTTACGAGTGTTTTTAAAAAATACTATAACCCTCGGTCAGACATCAAATTCGAAATTGTTCTATAAAGATATAATAATAATTTAAAATTAAATTTTTTCAATTCTTGAAAGATTGTGATCCTAGGAATTTTAGATTTCATCTGATTCAATGAATAATATTTTGTGCATTTCATTCAATTAATTCTATGAAACTAATTGAAGTAAAATAACGATTTTCACAAAGAAAACGGGGGTGAATTAGTCAAGGTTTATCTTTTCATGACCATAAAGATCCAGAAATAACCTGAATTTGGAAGTGGCTGATTAACAGTGGTAGTGAAAGAGTTTAATGAAAGAAAGCAATCCAACCATACATACTCTGTATTTTTCTCTTTTTTTGAAATTCTACCTATTGAAAATAAAATACTTTCTGATAAGTTGATGGTGGCGTTTGGCTTTTTCCTGTGATTTTTGACAATGATAAAATTAACCCTTGGTGATCGCATTAAGTTTATACATGGGTGTCATGCTGGCCGGAATTAATTTTCATTAGAGGTATAGTAATAATATGTAAGATTATGAAGAAAAAATAAAATTCATTAATTCTTTTTAAACTTAGATATATGTAGCACAATAATATGTTTAAATTTTTGAGTAAAAATAATATTTCATAGCTCTCCATCGTGTGGTATCTTTCAAAGCAGTCTCTAATGTGAAGCCCTGGTTTTCTAGAACACGTGTCGCAAAAAATAATTAGCTTGGCTTCTTCCGCCTTTAGTTTCTCTGTTTGAACATACAGAACAAAAATTTAACTCTTTACATCTTCATAGTGCCGCAATATGTGTAGCTTGCTATTAAGCTGTGGCTAACATCTTTATTGTGGTGGCTGGAAGCAGACATACTACTGGAATGGTAAAAAAAGTGTTGGTGGCTGAGAATAGACTTACGACAGCAAAGGGTTAAATGTAAACATGAAAGTTTTTCAATGAGGTCCTAAACGTTAGTATATTCTTGCTTTCATAGATTTTTCTACCTAATTCTTGTTATTTATATAATTTTCGAGATACCTTTGTTACCGAATTTGTAAAATAAGAATGTACACTTTTTTTTTATTTATCTCATTTACAAATTTCGATTCCTCTTATCATCACATGTTAAAACACATGTGATGATTACGATACGAGAAAAAATGTCCTTCTGTGAAACTCCTTTTGATTCAGATTAAGAAGATGAAGATATTTGTCAGTTCATATTCTCCGAAAGAAAATTATCAATTTTGATCAATTCAGCAATCCTTGAGCTACATTTTGTTAATTCTGAGAATCATTTCCGTCTCGAAATCACGTGATTTCTGAGGAAACGAGAACTCTCCAAATGTTTCCTCAACTCAAAACCTCATGGTACTACTTATTATCAAAATTAAGAATTGTTGTCTGGAATATTATTGCGACATTTTGCGGTATACCGTAACGAATAAGTACATTTTTCGATTAAATTTTTTTTA